TTTTTTTTTTAATGAATAGGAAGCAAAGAACTAGAAAAGCCCTCAGAAGACTTAGTTACAAGAATCATTAATTTGTTCACCCCACAATTTTCAAACTTCTTTGAACATCATTTCATCAAACAGTTATCACTCGTGTGTTATCTGTCATTAGTTAAAAGAAGACAGAAAGCACAGGGGGCGAGGTGCAAGACGGCAGCCAGCTATTTCTTACTGATTACCAATCATTATCTGGGTGACCTTGAGAAAAACAAATTAATCTCTGTAGATGTCATTTATGAAATAAGGGATTAAATTGGATGATTTATAGGGCTGCACCAATTATTAAAATTGTTGTCTTTTAAGTAAAGCATCTCAAGAGTTTACACTCAAATTGTCCAAAAAAGTGATCTTAGTTGTGGTGGAGATGTGTTAATAATAACCATGCAAAGTGGGTAATTACTCCCCCCCCACCCCCCACTTTTTAAAAGGTGTTCAAACTGGATCCAAGCAGTAAAGAAGGCCCTCTGTTAATCCTGGGAAGAAGTATGCAACCAGGCAATGACCGGTATCACTTCTGTCAACCCACTGATGTTGCTGTGGACCCAGAAACTGGAACTATCTACGTCTCGGATGGTTACTGCAACAGTAGGATTGTACAATTTTCACCAACTGGAAAGTTCATCACACAGTGGGGAGAAGGTACCCAAGGCGACTCTTGATCTCTAGTTGTGGTGATTAGCCAGTATCAGTGGGAAAAATTGATTGGCCATTTTTCACTTCTGTGGGATGAATTGTCCCTTTCAGCGAAGACAGCGGGGTCTCCGTGTGCCATCAGATGGCTTACATACACACAGAAATGCTCATAGGCCTGTAAGGAAAATGAAAAATTTCACCAAAAATACTTGTCCAAGTAGGAAGAAAATCTGTTACTCAATAAGAGATAATACAGAATAAGCTTAAAAACTGATATACCTTATTTTTCCCCCTTTCTAGAAATGTAATGGTTTAAGATCATGAATGTGGGAAAGTTCAAAACTATAAAGTCATGCTTAGGATAATTTCATAAATTGAATATCTGTGGTTTTGCTTTCTCCTATAGAGTCTTCAGGAAACAATCCTAACCCAGGCCAGTTCCGTGTTCCTCATAGCTTGGCCCTTGTACCCCATTTGGGCCAGTTATGTGTTGCAGACAGGGAGAACGGACGGATCCAGTGTTTTAAAACTGAAACCAAAGAATTTGTGAGAGAGATCAAGCATGCAGCATTTGGAAGAAACATTTTTGCAATTTCATATATACCAGGTATTTAATCTTAACTTTTGAATGACTTTTGTCTGCCATATTCCAGTCTTAAAATGTATCTCTCTTCACATGCTCTTTAATTTTTTTATTAGAGAAGTTGAAAATATCATATGTATCAGAACTTACAATGTTAAAACTGATGTATTATGGATTATAAATCATTTTAAACCAAACCCAACCAAGTCCATTCTGACTTATACCTACCATGGCTGTAAATCTTGATGGAAGGATATCTTTCTCTCACAGAGCAGGTGCTTCAAACTGCCAGACTTTTAGTTAGTAACCAAGCACGTTAAGTGCTGTACCATTAAGCTATTTTTAAATGCAGGTACTGCTATTATTCTTTGTAGATAAATAATGAAGAGATACAAAGGCTTTCGCTGTATGTAAAGAGTTTAAAAAATTGTTTCCAAACATTAATATTTATTTTTTACTAATTATGATAATTTACTCTAGTTATTAAATGATTAATATGATGTCTTCAGACAGCAACAGATGGTGTATTTCTGATAGAAACTATGTTCAAAATGTTTCTTTTGCACATTTTTAAAAGGCAGTAGGCAATTAAAAATAGATAAATAGAATGCAGAGATTTATGTCTAAATGCCAGAGGAAATACCCAATCCAATGTCAAATTTTTTTCTTATGTTCAAGGCTGATTTTATTGACTTTGAAAAAATCAGAAAAAATAATCTAAATATAAAGTAACTCCCCCCACATAATTTGCATCCCAAAACAAGTTAACAAAAGTTTTCTCCATCGAATATTGAACACATGGAGACATTTAATTCCTAAAAAAAAATTAATAAGTATTATACTTCTATATTATACTGTTATTAAAATATAGATTATCCTATTATAAGAATTATACTTCTTATTCTGTTAAAGTAGCCCCAATGAGTACTGTCAGATATTGAACTGCTAGCCACAAGGTCAGCAGTTCAAACCTACCACCTGCTTTGCATAAAAACATGGAGCCATCTGCTTCAGGAAGGATTCACAGCCTGGAAATCCCATCTTGCTGCACTGCAAGTAGGAAGTAACCCGGTGGTAATAGGTTACTGAGGACTGCCACCTTCCCAAGTAGCCCCAGATTTATTTGGGACGTGGAATAATGGCAGTTGTGTAACCAAATAAGGAACAAATTTGGTTGCCTAAAGAATATACATGTTTATTACTCAATTCATGGAAATGGAAGCAAAATAATTAAATCGGGATTTTACATCATGTTTAGAGAACAAATTTAGCAGGATCAGTCACATAACAAAGAAGACAATCACAGTCATTGTGAGCAAGAGTCAAATCTTAAAAGGAAAAAAAGTCAAGAGAGATGATTAGAAGGAATCTGATTAAATTCAGAATCAAAACAAAGGACAAAGTGAATGAAAATTGGAATTATTTCTATATTTGACACAATAATAACTGATGTTTATAGCATGTTTTGGTAACACGATATATCAAGAATCCAAATTCCCTAAAGAAAGAAGAAAGTATGTTTTGTGTGCAGTTAATGGTGTGGAGGTGGCCATATCTGGCCTTCGCTGACGTCCCTGGTGCCATGGGCAGTAGTCAGATATGGCCTCACCCTCCCTCTATCCTTCTTTATCGATTTTGACACTAACCATTTCTACCACCACATTCTACTTTCCTACTGGCTTGATCATTTATTGCTCACACACAATACTCATAATTAAGAACACTGACTAGGGAAGTTAACAGATTACTACAGGTCAAGATCAGTAAACATTAAGGTTACATCATTGGTCCCCAGCAGCACCTCTTCTCCGCCATCTGCCAAGTCTCTCTCTGGTCCTCATCCCCTCAGCTCATGCATGGTCCCTTGGCCTCTGTCTCCATAGTGTAGAAAACCTGCCCGCTGTTCTTCCTCTCAGCCTTATAGTCGCTACACTGCTCTTGTACTCTGTCAAAGCTGCCTTGCCTTGGCCACCGACCGGCCTCAGCCCGGCTCCTTTGCTCTGTCCCATGTTTTCTATGCCACAGCTTCTGGGATGTCTGATCTCAACCTCCACCACAGGAAAGATGATTGGAAGGAGTCTCATTAAAACCAGAATCAAAACAAAGGACAAAGTAAATTAAATTTGGAATCTGTTCTATATTATTGCACAATAATCATTGGTATCTATAGCGTTTATTTTTTTCCTAGCATGATATATCCAGAATCCTATAAGCCTTAAAGAAATGTGAAAATATGTTGAATGGTGTTGTAGTGCTATCTATGTTTCATTTTGTTTTAATTCCTTGAAAACTGGTATTGTTTAATCATCTTCAGTATGTAACCTAAACATCACCATTTTCATATTTTGGATAAATTGTACTATTCTAATAAATATTATTTTATTAAGGAGTATTTATGGCAATATTGTTAAAAATCATCTAATTTCTTTTGTCTGAAGAAAGACAGGTTTTTGATAATCTGAAATAATTATATATTGCTCTCCAGCCTTTTAGCTAAAATCAAGTGAAATTATCATTGTACATTTTTCAAGTCTAATCATTTAAAATCAGTTAACCTTTCTATTTATACTGTAATATACTCATTTATACTGTCATTTCACTTAATTCATTTGCATATTTCTTCTAATTTCTCTGTAGTATTTAGCTATGTAGGCATTACTTATGATTAAACCTAATCCAGTATCATAAAATGATTAGCCTAAATAACCAAATACTTATTTAAGAAGCCTATGTAACCCACATTTATATTCTTTGTTCTTAAATTCGACGAGATTCCCAAGTGGTAAAGGTCTTCCAGTTCCTAATTTTCCTATTGCAAGGACATTAGCCCTCTAACATTTCTGTTCCTGACCTTGTCACTCAGGAGACATATGCTAAGTGTTTGAGCCTCTACCTTTATTGCCAATTACAGAGATCAGGTTGACCCTACATCTGGTGATTGTGTGTGAATGTTCATGTATATATTTGAAAGCCAATCTCATCCATATTTTATAAGAAACTTAATTGGCTATATTATCCCAGGTTTGCTTTTTGCGGTGAATGGGAAGCCTTACTTTGGGGACCAAGAGCCTGTACAAGGATTTGTGATGAACTTTTCTAACGGGGAAATTATAGACATCTTCAAGCCAGTACGCAAGGTATTTATTAGCATTGCCTAGGTTTCAGTTTTTGTGATAATAGAACTAAACTATGAATCTTGGCATTCAATTTGTAATTGTGTACTTTATAAAAAAAGGAGTAGCAACGGTAATTTATAGCGAGGCTGATGTTCGTATCCTGTTAGACTGTTTTTTGCCCTTGTCAATTCCTAAATCCATTTCTTGGGATGTAAATTAACACTGTGTACAAATCTAAGGCTCTAAGTATAGTTTACATACCAGTACAGATGTAAATGCACTATAATCAAAGTACCTTTTTAAAAACAGATAAAAACTTCTTTCATACCAAAGAGATCAGACCTTAGAGATGGCCAAGGTCAGAAGCACCCAGGAAGGTAAAGCAAAGGTCTAGTACGTTGAGGTGTATTAACTTGGGTGAGATGGAAAATAGTTAACAAGAGAGAGAAGAAATATCTTGGAGCTGGTAAAGAGTAAACTTTAGAGGGGATTTTTATCTGAAATGTAAATCCCCACCTAATTTATAATTTTAAAATTATTTAAAAATGAATAAACATTTTCTGGTTTTATTGAAATTGGAAAGACCTCAGTAATTTCAATAATATAGAGTTCTCTGAGATTCAACAAAAATCTTGTTGCATTTTTATTGTCATGATGATACTGAGCAACAAAATGTAACAATAGCATTTCGTTGAATAAATTCACTTCCTGAAAAACTTTAATTCGGTCAGAGAATAAGGAGTACTTTCAATTCACAAATGGCTTACCACTAAACGTTTATTGTAGCAATGCTTTTTACAAACACAGTGACTGAGAAGCAGTCTGACCTAGACCTTCTGTCTTCCCAGTTGACTTACTCCGCAGTATCGTTGGCACAGTGATCACAACTTGCTTGTTGATGGCAGGTCAATGTTCCAAATTCAACTTGTAACAATACTGTAAACTTTGGTGGTTTTGCAGAACAAATAAAGGTTGAATTACTTTACTTGAATCAGAATGCAACTATCAGAAGATCTAGGCAACTATTGGACAAATTATATCTTGATTTCTATAGCTATTTAAAAAAAACAAGTTCACTAAACGAAAAGAAAACATTTTCAATTCCTCAATCTGTTAGAAATTATTGTGTGAGAAATACTTGACCTGAGATTTATCATCCAATTTCATCTCAGAGGTGTTTAGTACCTACTGTGTGCCAGGTATCATGTCAGGTATTGAGGAGCGTCAACATAGCAAGATACAACATTTCCCTCAACAGTTTTTTTAGTCAAAGATAGAAGTTCGAGGGCGTGAATTGAATCAAAATAAATATAAACTAAAGTTTCTAGTATAAATTTATTTCCTTAGGTTTCTCTCCATATATAACCCATTAAATTTTTTTTCTATAGTGATTTTACTGAACACAGTAAAACAGACCTATGTAATCACAGTACCTTCCAAAAGGAATTCATTAGGTTGAATAGACATAGTTTGCTTCCATCATGTTTCAGCTCCATGTTGATGATTGGATCTTCATTGTTTTACCTGTTGTGCTAGTCCCCTTGGCTCTATTGATAAAGAAATTAGGTACTGTAAGGTCAGCACTTTTTATCATAGTGTACTGTGAAAACTAATATGTTAACTTTCAATTCAAACATACATCTAGAAATATAAGCTAAATCCTCAGCTAGATATTAAAATCTAAATCATCTTCATTCTTGAAAATGTGAATAGCCCTAAATAAAATTTTCACAAAGCAATATGCTTGTTATCAGCATGCCTTGGACACTTAGAGATGTCAACATATATAAGTTCAAGCAACAAACTTGGGGTAGAATTTAAAAGCCTAGCTCAAAAGAGAAATTTGCTTTTCCTTTAAGTATACAAGACTCGATGCTACACCAACATAGAATTGTATCCTATGTTGACTCAATAAACTACAATCGGTTTCTAAATATTACATATTTTTCATTAAGTTAGATTGTCATCATAAATATTAAGTTGGGGTATAGAAAATAAGGTGGTATAGTAACAACTAATTCAGAAGGCATTTGTCTTTCAAGGGAAAAGTCAAGTTTTATATAATTTGACTGCTTCTGTCGGAGCATATTTACTGCTTATTTCCTTGGATGTTTCGGTTCTCCCTCTTCTACTATTATTATTGTTTTTCTAGAATTGTCTGAAAGTACAGTCTTTTTCTTTATGTTTGTATAGGGAAGATAGAGGACTTTAGGGTAGTAAAGAACATGATACTATTAAATAGTGGCAAAAACAGGAGAGCAAAACTATATATATCATCCTCCGCCCTCATCATCAAAGGGAAGAATATTCGTGCTGTCAGTACAAGAAGTCCAGAAGATCTGTCAGTGTCACGAAAAAGAGAGATCAAGTTGATTCAAGAAGTTCTAAGTTTATTCCTGCAAGAGCTCACAGAAAACAGCCAGACTTCTCCCTCTGTACGGCTTCAAAAATCCAGTGAAAATTAAGCAAATTGCATACTGTAAACTATGTGGCAGAAGCAGGGTTTTTTGGGGGTTTTTTTTGTTGTTTTTTTAACAATGATTACTGGGAGAGATTAGCAGGTTTTTCACAATGATCATAGGGTACAATTGATATTCTAAGAAGGCAGGTTTTACAATGATCATTAGGAAGTTATCTGTACCTACATTTCTCCATGGGCCATTAAACCACCACCTGCTGAAGTGTAACGTGCCCTTTATTATCTACATTGGGGTGATGCTTCCATGCCTGCCCTTAGCAGGCCTCTGATATTAAATCACCAGGTAGCTCTGAGGCCTCTGAATATGGGGGTGTTTCCTTTTGGGCTGCTTATCTTAATGGCCTTGCGAGTCTCCTTCCTGAGTCAGGATACTCCTATTGATTGAGATTGAAAGGGATTTTTACTGCCAGGGAAAGAGGCATAACATCCCCTTGGATTAAAAAACTGAATCTTACATTATGTTATATTTCTAGTATTTTGATTAAGAGTAAACTAAATCTTTGACCCTCTCTATCAATGGTATTTCATTCTGTGCTTTCAAATACATTCTTCAGTCTGATATTTTTGTCTTATTTCTTTAAGGCAGCTCATGTAGGAAAATAAGGAAATGAGCTCAATCTCTCTCTATCACACACACACACACACACACACACACACACACACACACACACACACACGATCAACAGCCAGCCCAGATGTACTTCTCCAACCTTCACAATGGATATAATAATTGCAATATTTGAGATGAAGGGTTTGTATAAATTAAACCATTTGAACAACGCTACATTATAAATAGCTCACCTTGACTTCAAACTCTTATCTGTCTGACTTCAGAGAGAGTTTAACTACTTAGCATTCTATATGAGGGTGCTTGGACCCTCTCTGACAAACGAAGTGAGATATACTGAGGTCTTTTAATCGCTGTGACACACATTGTATGCCAAGGGGTATATGAAGTCACCACATAAACATGACACAACTTCCTAGAAGAACCAACATACTTAATAGTAAGTGAACATGAGCATTCTTTTTATAATAAAGCAAATGTGGTTATGATGTGGAGGAGATCAGAAGATTTTCACGAATGTTTAAGATAAAATGAGAGATTGTAAGGTCAGGTTGCCATGGGCTGTATCCCTGGATGCTCTGATGTGATTTTTATTTTGTTAGGACGACCTCAAGAGAAGAATTCTCAACGTCTGGAGTCCTTTCAACTCTCTAAGCCCCTTCAAATCTGAAACCCTAAAAGCAACAACATAAGTTGCTGTTTCAAACAATTCAGAACAACAGAATAGTTCATTAAAATATTACAGTTAAATGCTTTTGATTATAATAGGAATGGAGGTCTAAAAGTCTCACTCATCTGAGCTTTTATGGTAGCCTCAAAATTATTTTCTAAAGAACATTTGGCACTCTATATCAATTTAAGGACCATTGACATTTTAACACTGAATTTATAGCATATTCTTGAAGTTTATGTGAAGTAAATTTCTTGGCCAAGAAATAGTTCACAATTCCCCCCTTCAACTATTTCCCTACCTATTATATAGTATTTTTTCTTTCAGGAAACATGAAGCATTTCATAACCAACGTTTCACAAAACAGTTTCTAAGAACATATTTGGGTATAGAACAGGCACTGCCTACACTTTATAAACCTGAGGTGTGCGATTTCAACAAAGCACTGTTTTGATTTCTGGCTCCCTCCCTTTCTCCTGCACATTTGTCACAACTCCCTTGATGGTCTGAAGGCATGAACTTCCTGGGCACAGCATTCATTTTTCTTTTCAGCATGACAAATTGCTGGTTTTTACAGAATCAGGGTATCTTCAAAGTAGGTATTCTTCTGCTCCTCCTAAAATGAGGGAAAAGGATAGTTTGTCCGGTTGTTGACCTTGGTACTCAGCAATCCCTTGTTTGTAGATGTTAGCTAATAAGCCACAGTTTGGAGAGTACTCCTTTTAATATTTAGTAGTCAGATTTTGGAGGACTGTGCCTTCAGGCAGGCCTGTTAGCCTAAGAGGTTAAAAAACTTAGTATTTACATCCTGCCCATTGGACACACGTGGCATCTTTGTAGGCTTCAGTAAACAACTGGAAGATTGTTAGAAACACATTTTAGCTTGTTGTTCCAGGAATTAGGTGGGTGCCCTGAGAAACTCACGTAGAATCGTCTCCTGCCTCCTATGTCTTCGTGATTAAGAGACAATGATTGGAAATGAAGAGATGTCATGAGGAAGGACATATTAAGACACTGATGATCTGAGTAGGTCAAAAGCTAGGAAGTACTTTGGGATAACAGTTTAGTTTGTTTGTTGCTGACTGTATTTCAGACATTGAACTGGAGGGCATAGAACCCACTATCTTTTAGTGTGTACTTAGAACTAAGCAAATGCCCTTAACCTGTATTGACTATTCTTAGCAGTAATGTATAAATAATTTTTAAAGGATAGGATAGTTTGATGGGAATTGTAACATAAATCAGTGCCTTGTATTTTTTACTTGTGCAGATCAAAACAGGCAAATTGGATAGGGATTAAGAAGTAGAAGAAAACTGGAGGCACAAGGAAAGAAAACTAGATATATGACATAATACCAAGTAAACACAACTGATAAAACAAGTTACTTGTAAATATTTTCATTTGAACATATTTGAAAACCAGTGAACAGGTCATTGAGTATTCCATAATGCCGAGATGTAGGGAGTTCTAGAAGTATTTCTGTGAGTCTGAACTTACTTATTGGCAATGAGTTTGGCTTTGAGTTTAGTAGTGTACGGTCGTAAGTTATAAGTTGCGCCGTTAACCACAAAGTCAGCAGTTGGAAATCACCAGTTGCTCTCTGGAAGAAAGATGAGACTTGTAAAGATTTACAGCCTCAGAAAACCAGAAGGGCCAGAGTGTGAGGCTAGGTACTAGACACTCATATATGTATAAGAGAGAGCTTTATCTCAAGAAGTAGTTATATATCAGGACACTATCCCAGCCCAGTCCAGATCAAGTCCATAAGTCTGATACCAGTCCATAAATCTCTCTTCAGACTCATGCAGCCGTAAGCAATGATGCAGAGTGCAGGAAGATCACTGACTGGTGGGTGCAGAGTTGTGTAGATTCAATGGCGATGGAAGCATCTCCAGGGCTGGCCAATTCTGCACGTGGCTCATCAGAGGAAAGTGGAGGCAGAGAGAGAGAGAGAAGAGGTTCCCATGACCTTCTTTTATGAGGCCACGCCCACAAGGAGGCCTCATCAGGCTGTGACCTGACTGACAGGCTAGACTCCACCCCTACATTCTATATGTAAAGTCGACATGAAACTATGTAACTGCCACAGGCAGTTTATTCTGTCTTGTGGGGTTGCGATGAGTTGGAATTGACTCAATAGCAGTGAGATTGGTTTTAATGAGTGCTCAAAATTAGGACTAAAACAGATTTGGTGTCTAGTGATTGAAAAGGCAACTTCGGCATAGAGTTGCTATGAAGAGAATTACAATTATTCTTGCTTTGATTTCGGTAGTGGACATATTGCTTTGTTTTGTGTTTTGCTTTGCTGATATTTTATAAAGGAATCAAGTTTAGGCACGCCATCCTAATGTGTGGCTTGCTGTTTTGGCAGCACTTTGACATGCCTCATGATATTGTGGCATCTGAAGACGGGACCGTGTATGTTGGAGACGCTCACACTAACACCGTGTGGAAGTTCACTTCAACTGAAAGTATGTTGTTTACTTCATCTTTGTCCACATTTTCCCCAGACTTATTGCCTAAAAACAACGAGCGAAAACATTTGCAGCCCTTCTCTTTTTACTGATAGGAATGGGCAAGCAACGTATACATTGGCAGTTATTGAAAGACGTTCTATTATTCAGTTCAATGATTAAATTAATTTTGTAAAAATTGGGGGTAATTTCCATTTCCCCCCTCTGGCAGTTTTCCTATTAATTCCACAGCTATTAAACAGGAAATTCTTGAGACCTGAATTAATGTCTGTTACAGAAAAAGCCAATGTTAAATCCAACTTAGGTCCAAGGGAGGCGATGGCTTTGGCAAAGCAGAAGGGCTGACTTGTTTCCACACAGGTGTCCCTTCCTCTATGGCTCTCAGCTCTGCAGCTGCTGAGTATCCAGGGAAGCTAGCATCTGTCAGACACATACTGTCCCAAACAGGAAGCTCTCTTCATTCTCCAGTTAGGTTTCAGCTTTCCTGAAATGCTGGACTGCTGTCTTTTCATGTAACTCAAAAGTTTGTTTGGGGACAGGAGCTTTGCTTTCTTAGGATTGAGCTAGCTAATTTTGAAGTTTTCTAATTGCAATGTGGACAGTATTTCTAATTCTTAAATAAATATACTAACTTAGCCCCTGGTATTACTACACATTAGAATTGACCAATGGCAGTGGGTGGGATTATGATCATTTGGGGGTACTAACCTAAAGTCGTAAGGTGTAAGTCATCCAGAGATGTCTCAGCAGAAAGGCCTAGCAATGTATGGTGAAACAAGTCAGCCCTCGAAATGCTTATGGAGCACGCCTTTACTCTGTCAAACAGGGTCGCTCTAAGTCAGAACATCCTCCGTGACACGGTCTTCTTAGCATACCAACCACCCAACCAACCAACGTAACTTGTCTAACTTGAAGAGTACTGCATTCTTACTAGGCCATAACCTAAAGGTCCAGAGATGGTTTTAAGATATGCCAGCCTCCAAACAATAAAAAGATGTAAAGAGAGTAAAAAAGAACTACAGTATTTTCGCACCCCCTTGTATATGTAGCAGACAAGAAAGTGAGCGGCCAGAACTGTATGAATAGGCAGAGAAGCCAAGATAGATGGATAACTCCCAATTACTGAAATAAACCCAGGTTTTCAGAAACATAGATACCCTGAAAGGAGGTTGAGACTTGAGAAATCTCGCCTGTATCCTCTTTGTCAAGGAAGAAATATGTACTTGACCTCATGAAGATGTCCATCAGGGTCTCTTCATACCACTCCAGGGGTTAGCACCTGGACCCCACCCAGGGCCTTAGAACAAAGAAACTTGGTCCAACATGTGTTAGAAAGGACCCCTAATGATCTTGTGCATGCCCATAATGAGAAGCACTTAATAAAGCATGTGGCTTTGAAATAAAAGCAACCCTCTGCATGGTCCAGACTCCAGTCAAATCATTAATTTGGAAAACTTTGCTTATGGGACACTAAGATTACTATCAGAAACTTAACAAGTGGCTCACACATTTGCATTTTATTATTCAGTCATATCTACTTTTGTCAGCTACAAGCCTGGGAATCCAACATGGCAGAACAGCTAGTCCGTCTTAGATGTTGCCCATATGGAAACAGGCTATTTGATATTTCATAAATAATAGAATACTATGAACTATTATACATGGAGAAATAAAAATATTCTAAATATGAAGATCTTAGATTTAAATCCAGGATTCATATAGCTGGCGCTTAATTAGTCATATGTGCTGGACTTATTTCTAAAGATGATAAATGTATTTAATCAAGTGAAGAAATATTTCCTGCTGAGTAAAATTAATATCAACATTTTATCTTAAAGAGTCCTTTCTGGGGATTCTGATTTTTTTTTTTTTTTTT